CCATGAGCGCACGCACGAGCCACATAAACTCAGGAGCCTCGTGCAACGGTCTGCGCGCGCGCGCGCGCGTGTGTGTGTATGTGTGCGAGCGCGACGATGTTCTCGCGCCTTTGATTCTGGATAAGTGCAAAAACCATAGACAGATCAGAAACAACGGTAACCGTTTATAATAACTCTCATTAATATTCGCTAACAAACAATTATGTCTTTGTCTTGGTTGCACGGGTCTTTGGCTAAAGAAGCATTTCTACAGTGATTGTCCAGCCCAAACAATATGCTATTGAACTCACGTTTAGTCACTATATACGCTGTCATTTTTGGAACCTACTGTTAATTTGAGACAAAAAGCTAATGCAAAAGCAAAATAAATATATAATAATAATTGACCTTTAAGTATTATATAATGGTGTTATTATAGATGTAATCAATGAAAGTTATTGTGTTTTCCATGCCAGAGGATAACATATATCTGAAATGTATGACCCTGCTAAACCCTATATGTCATGAATATTATTTTATGAGTGAGACATTGAGTTGAAAGGGCAACGAACTCGGCATTGATCAGTTTGACCTAATGTCATTTCTGTTTTAATTAAAGGATAATGATTAATTGAAATGGTCATCATGCCATTTAATCCCATAATTAGTATAGGACCAAGAATAGAATATTATAAAATATATCCAACATGACAAGTAATTCAGAGCCACGGTTACTTGTAATGCGCCATGTCATGTAAATGACCTCTAATGATGGCCTTAAATAAATGAAATAATGCCAACTCACAGTGCAGCAGTGTTGGACCAGCATGCACTGCATTGCACATGCAGTTTGTGATTTACTGCAGGCAGACATGAAAAAAACACACATCCATGATGAACCTTATTCAAAATCTGCATCACATGCACATGCAGATCCGAGCACAATGACAACATCAACAGCGTCTGCTGTGCAGCCACATGAGTGAAAATCATTTCCAAAGAGCAAAAACTGTGTGATTTCATCATTCTGTTCTTGCATTACCCCGGTTTCAAAAGGCCAGGCAGGAATGGATCCAAAAGACAGCACAAATCCATTCGAAACACATCCTCAAAGACTGTAACATCGAACAAACCCCACATTTTCTCCAAGAACTCTTTAATGAAATGTCTGAATAACAGCATCTTTCTGGATTATCATTTCTTCCTCTAAATTAATTGGACAAAAAGAGTCAGGAACCATTCCTAAAGTGCCTCAATTCCTAATTTTGTATAGGTTTACATGCATCATGCATTTAACCCTCCTATTATCCTTGGGGTCAATTTGACCCCATTCAATGTTTAACGTCTGTAAAAACATAATTTTATTTATTTTTATTTTTTTTGCTTCAAATTTAATGACTTTTCCTAATTTAATGGGGACAACTATGTAAACATAAAATTAACCTGCTAATATTTTTTCAAAGTCCTGTACAAATTTTGTAGCATCGGTTTGTCAATTTGACCCCAGGCTCTTTTAGTTGTATAATGAAACAGAAGAAATATTAAAATTTCACACACATTTGTTTTGGTTGTTATATTGAGGTCATTATAACATGTTATAATTTGAATGTATAATGTTCATTGTAATTTTACATATTCAATATCATTTTCAAAAAAACGTCCCTCTGTTTTAGGGCTCTAACCAAACAGAACCATATCTGTAGTATTGCGAGAACTACTAGTCGTCCACATGACATGTGACATAATTCTCAAGATAACTAATAATTCTTTCCTGTGCCATGGGGAGGAGAAAACATAAAACTTCAAAACGTCAACTTTAAACGTTCTTAAGTTGTCAACGAAGACATAAATTGACTGAGACAAACCTTTGTGAAAAAAATACACATATTGTGGAGGTTTAAATTGAGGGTAAAAAGTGTCATCAGATTTGAGGGTTAAGATAAAACGGCTTGCCATACACGCCTAAAACTCACATCCTTTTGATTTTTCTGGGAAAATGCATTGAGTACTTCTCATGTGTGTGTGTTCAGGGAATTAAAAATCAGCTCTTCATTGTTGAAGTCATCCCTTACTCGTGTTAATGAGGAACTGTCTTTCACCTTGGGGCCCCCATTTGGTAGAATGGCCCTCATAAGCCCCGTGCTCTTTGTTGGAGGGAACAGACCTACTCCAGTCCCATCCCGTCTCGGGGTCAATACCAGCTGTCTTCAGGAGTGAAATAACCTTCAGACGAGCTCCTGTGGGAAAGCAGGGTCAGTGCACACCATTTACATGTCCTATAAACTTCATTTGCATGCTCTCACCTGTGCCGTCCATTCACTGCTGTGGGGAAAAACCTGTAATGCGAAGAAATGCATGATGGATTACTTGTGGTGTCACCTGAACCACTGACCTGGAGGGTCTGGTTCTCATATCTCCAGGTATTGAGCCATTTTCAGCCCTCAGTAGGGGTGATTGGGTCCAAACGAACAGAACAGACTTTACAATCCCAGACAACAGGGTCTCTGGTTTCACAAACGCCTTTGAGATCTCCTATTACTCATGCAGCATGTCATTTTGATCAGTGTGTAAAACCCTTTTGTATCTTAAGAACCACAATAATTCTCTGAGAAAATAAGGCGATTTATGGGTTTACGCGGTTCGCTCTGGTTCTAGGTCAGTGTTTCACTGCAGTCATCAACATCCCGCTATGATTCATCACGGCTCTTCATCCCAGGCCAGAAGAAGTTTCTCTAGAGCAATATTCATCCATCCATCCAGCCGAAATGTATTCAGTTTCCTGTTATTTAGGATTGTGCTTTTACAATCCTGTCAAATTTATTATCATCAAACTCAAAGCCCAGAATACTGAGAAAACCTCTTGCAAAAACACATCAATATTCCTCATGACGTTAAGAAAAGATTCTAAATATAGTCGGCCTAGAAGAACAAAAATGCTTTGTGATAAAGGTTTAGCAGGGATTTTGGAGGAGAAAACGGAATTTTTGGAATGGAGGCTGCCCGTGCAGGACACAAGAAAGTGAATATTAATATTATATAATAATACAAATATAATATTGTATAATTTTGCCTGCAGTGCACAGATGGATGTCTTTGGCCATTACATCACATTTTGCGGCTATTATAGTTAACTAAAACCATAAAAACACTTGAATTATTTGAAATAAAATAAACTCTAAATGAAATGAAATACTATGACAGTTTTCATAGTATCTCAATGATACTAAAATAAAACTGCCAAGTTAAGAATGAATAAAACAGGGTCTCTCGAAATGAGGTTCATGAGGAAACGGCAGGTGGTTCATGAGATTATGAATAGCTAATCAAAATAAAACATGTTAAAAAAAACATTAAATATTGTATTTGTTTATCTCCATTCTAACTGTAAAAAACAATCCTGTAAAAAAACGGTAAACAGCTGTGGTTGCCAGCATCATACACTAAAAATACACTGTGTTACTGTTTTTGAAATTAACAGCTAAATACCGTATTGTCATCTACAGTACTAAACTTTAATTTAACATCTCTATGCGCTAACACAAAAACAGTATCACACTGTATAATTACGGTATGATGCTGGCTCCACAGCTGCCAGTAGTTTATCGTTTTTTACAAGATTATTTTTCACAGTGTATTAACACTCATCAGAGAACCGTGGAAATGCAAATGAGTTGTACAATTATTGAAATATTAAATGAAATGATCTTTTTAGGTCAAAGCGGTTTTGGGAAGTTTGGGAATATCAGGCATAAAACATGAAAAACGGTCAAAAAATATTGTTGGTTTAAGTTAAAAAAGTTAGTAACCTGGTTGCCTTAAAATTTTAAGTTCATAGAACTGGAAAAAGTGAGTTAATACAATGAAGGAGAAACAAAATTCTTTGTTTTCTGAACTAAATAAATTATTCAAGTTGATATGACTAAAGAAAAAATGTTGTGATTACTAATCATGATTTTTTTTTTACAGTGTACCAGAATAACATCTCCAGGAGGAGATTTAAATGCAAAAATAACTATAAACTGGAGCATTCGCACCTTTGTTTCTGTACTTGCGTAAATTCTGGCCTAAAATGCATCACATTCACATAGAAAGCTATTATTTGACTCCAGCACACACGTAATGTTTGGATCACCACAAACCCACTGTAAAAAAAAAATATTGTTGGTTTAACTTGAAAAAATGAAGTAACCTGGTTGCCTTAGAATTTTAAGTTCATTGAAATGGAAAAATTGAGTTAATACAACGAAGGAGACTGATTTAATCACCAGAAACTCAAAATATTATGTTATCTGAACTACTATTATTTAAGTTGATTTGACAAAAGAAAAAATGTTACAAATCATGAAAATATTTTTCACCAAACACAATAAAAGACATAATATAAGGTCTTTGGAATCAAGTTTATAACTCGTAGACTATTGCACAGTCATGTCCCGTCTGAGCAGGCACGTGTGGGACACTCTTGGCTCGCTCTGAGAGAGGACAAAAGCCTCTTTCACTTCGTGGAGCGAACTGCTCCATTAGAGATGCATTCCTATTCAGATGGGGTCAAATTCCTTTTGCTGCCGGCTAATGGCTCGGAGACACACGGACAGAGAAAGGCTCCTGATGTCACGATGAGCCCGCAGAACGTACGACTGCAAGGCTGAGAGCAAGATCACGGTCCCTTGTGTCTAAGATGTCTTCAATTGTCCCGTTCTTCTGATGTTAGGCTTTAGCGAGCTGTAATGTGTCTGTATGGCAATTGCAGCATCTCTCAGAAGCCGAAGACTCTCCTGATGGCCTGAGACGTCCTGTGTTTATCAGTGTCATGTGATGCAGTTTGGAGACATGTTTCTTGAGCATCAAATCATCATATTAGAGTGATTTCTGAAGGATCATGTGACACTGAAGAGTAATGATGCGAAAATACAGCTTTGATCTCAGGAATAAATTACATTTTAAATTATATTGCAATACAACTTATTTTTAAACTGTAAAGTATTTTACAATATTACTGTTTTTACTCTATTTTTTTTTTTATCAAACAAATGCACTTCTTTAAAAAACATTAAGAAGTCGAAATCGTACTTATTCCACACTTTTGACCCGTAGTGTGTAGAGGGAATAGGCACTTTTATTCTGGAAGGATCTATTCCATAACATTAATAACCGTTGTCATGTCATATTTCTCGAGGGCCGGTTTGAGAACTGTGGAGTGAGAAGAAACACGAGTCCAAGGCGGTGTCAGTGATTTCCTCCTCTCTGCAAAATCTGCTCCAGAAGTTTCTGCAAAAAAGAAAAACATCATTTAGTCAGTTTTGTTTCCAAATGTCCATAATTTGTGGTCAGCATGGGTTGGACATGCCAAATGTTTCTGTTGAAACTCATCATAATTAATACTGGATGTCTGGATGTTTTAAAGAAACAATCATTGCAGTTTTACGAAAGATTAAGGAACTTTTGTTTCTCTTGTGAGTGTTGAAACACTTTTTTCTTCTGTCCAACATTTACAAAATGTGTTCAAATCATATTACTTTATACGTTACAATATTTGACTTTACAAGATTTTTAAGTTCTTATAATACATGGCACTTTTTGTGTTTGTGACTGGAATAAGAAGTGAATCGGTGGATGAATTTTTACGTTTTACATAATCTGACAGGAGAAACGCATGATTGCCACATGACATTTTTGTGTGTAAGTGTGAATATGCTTTTGCTTTTTGACTAATACACTGACAATCTGGCCTATAGCGACATCTGGTGGAGGAAAAGTACATTTACTATTTACAGGAATAGTGCTATTACTTCATAGCAAATCATACAAAATATGTATATTTAATTATTTATATACAGTCAAATTACTATATATTATATATAATTGTACTATGAAGTTATAACTGTGTCATAATGTGTTAAAATCACAAATAAGTTCTTAAAATTGCAATTTTCTTCAATATGTAGGCTATATTTTTGTATGATTTGTTTGTGATGGAAATGAAAAGTGAATTAGTAGATTAATTTTAAGATTTTAAGAGCTTTATTAGGGATTTCAACCAAACTTAATTCACTTACCAGAGTTTAAAATTAAGTGTGAACATACATTTCATACAAATGTATCTGGCGTTACCATACAATTACAGATGTTTGCAGGTGTTTTTATCCGTGTCAAATATTTACCATGTCATTCTTCTAGTAAAGTGCAGTTTTTTATTAATAATGTGGTCTATCAGGATGAGTTTGAATAACTTAAGATTGTGTCGATTGTTATTTTTTTACAATGCTTTTTTTGGTGGGGCTGAATGATACCATGTATTTATATCATAGTATTATTACAGTTTTATTTCCAAAAACATGGTACACTCTTAGAAGAAATGGTTCTATTTAGAACCAGAAATGGTTCCATCCCCCGCTTCATATATGGAACTCCAAAATGGTTCTATATAGAACCATTTTTTTTGCTAAAAGATTCTATTGGTCAAGTATGGAACCCCAGGGTTCTATAAAGAACCCAGAGGAACCCTTTTTTAAGAGTGTATAGAACCTTTTAGGGGTTCCAAATACGTAGTGCTGATAGAACCTTTTCTTCTAAGAGTGTATTTTTTATGAAGATTGACCAGAATCAAGTATTCCTGAGAATCTTCTATGAGCTATAATATAAGACACACACACACACACACACACGTGCCTGACTCTAAAGCGTTCACATCGGACACAGGCCAGTCTCCCATAAGTGCTCACAACACTGGATTCGGACCCTACATGTCTCCTTTCTTGCCTTCAGAAAACTGTGAGACCCCCAAAACAGTGTCACAGATTAACACAAAATGTCATGACCAAACAACATATGCACCAAATATATTCTGATTGACTGTGTGCACCTGTTTGGACAGCCATATAAGGATTTATTCATCAAATAGCAGTGCTTCACAAACCAAACACTGCAAATAATTATATAAACAAAATCAAAAGCTTTTTGAGTCAGAGTGATGTGCAAATGAGGCCTAGAAATGTGTGTTTTCTGTTGAATATAGCTCTCTGCCATGCAGGGACTGAAAGAGTAAGAGGTGTTTAGGAACAAAATGCATCGGGCAAAATCAATCCCGATAGTTAAGGGGTGGAAAGGGTTTAGAGAAGTCGTCCTTCTCCGGTCCGATGGAATTAGAGCAGTTTCGAAAAGATAACCGAATACCTTGTGACGGCATATTGGAAAAGCTTCACGTTCAGGATTAATGCTGAGAATTAATCTCATTTGTTGAACCAGTTAACGCCGACTCAAAAATGCAATCCCACACACTGGGAGAACACACACACACACACACCCGCGAGGTAATGATTACCGATGGACCTGTATCAGTGTCTTCACTTCTGCTCCCAGATCAGCCCTATATATGTCCACAAACAGTACCTTCTTAAAGATCTCTGCCCGCAGCCTGTTGGTCCGAGATGCCAGTTTCCTTTTCTCTTCGTCTTGTTTTCTCTTTTCTTCCTCTCTCCTCTTCCTCACTTCAGGGAGCTGGTTATAATTCCTGTCAATCAAAGCTCAGGGTTAGCATGCTTGACATACTAGCCGCTGTTTATAAATGAGCACTGATGCAGAGAGAAAATAGAAAGGAAAATGCAGTGTTGAGAAAGAGAGTGGCAATTGTACATGCACTTCAATAAGTTTGTTCTGGGTGGTTGCAAGAATGTTGTTAGGGTGTTCTGGGTGGTTTCTATGGTGTTGCTAGGGTATGTTAGGTGGTTGATAGCATATTTTAGGGGTGTTCTTGGTGTTTTAAGGGTATTTTGTGGGGTTCCCAGAATGTTGTTGGGTGTTTTGGTGGTTGCTAGGGTATGTTAGGTGGTTGCTATATTTGTTGTATTCTTGAAGTGTATAGTTATTTTGGGTGGTTGCCAGTTTGTTGTAGTGCCAGGGGTGTTCTGGGTGGTTTCAAGGGTGTTGCTAGGGTATGTTAGGTGGTTGCAAGGGTGTTGCTAGGGTATGTTAGGTGGTTGCTATGGTTGTTATATTCTTGGAGTTTATAGGCATTTTGGGTGGTTGTCAGTTTGTTGTAGTGCCAGGGCTGTTCTGGGTGGTTTCAAGGGTGTTGCTAGGGTATGTTAGGTGGTTGCAAGGGTGTTGCTAGGGTATGTTAGGTGGTTGCTACGGTTGTTGTATTCATGGAATTAATAGGTATTTTGGGTGGTTGCCAGTTTGTTGTAGTGCCAGGGTTGTTCTGGGTGGTTTCAAGGGTGTTGCTAGGGTATGTTAGGTGGTTGCTATGGTTGTATTCTCTCAGTTTATACTGTAGGTATTTTGGGTGGTTGCCAGTTTGTTGTAGTGCCAGGGGTGTTCTGGGTGGTTTCAAGGGTGTTGCTAAGGTATGTTAGGTGGTTACAAGGGTGTTGCTAGGATATGTTAGGTGGTTGCCATGGTTGTTGTATTCTTGGAGTTTATAGGTATTTTGGGTGGTTGCCAATTTGTTGTAGTGCCAGGGCTGTTCTGTGTGGTTTCAAGGGTGTTGCTAGGGTATGTTAGGTGGTTTCAAGGGTGTTGCTAGGGTGTGTTAGGTGGTTGCTATGGTTGTTGTATTCATGGAATTTATAGGTATTTTGGGTGGTTGCCAGTTTGTTGTAGTGCCAGGGTTGTTCTGGGTGGTTTCAAGGGTGTTGCTAGGGTATGTTAGGTGGTTTCAAGGGTGTTGCTAGGGTATGTTAGGTGGTTGCTATGGTTGTTGTATTCATGACGTCATAAAGGTCATTTAGTGTAAATGCGCCAACATTATGGAATTCACTGCCCCTTTCACTTCGAAATATTTCATCAATGACTGCTTTCAAGACACAGCTAAAAACATATCTATTCAACATGTACTTCGTTTAAATGTGACTATTTTGTATCCTCTGTGACTGTTAGCTGTGTGTCAGTGTTTAAATGTATTGTTCATGTACCATGTAAAGCGACCTTGAGCTTTGGAAAGGCGCTATATAAATAAAACTTCTTCTTCTTCTTCTTCATGGAATTTATAGGTATTTTGGGTGGTTGCCAGTTTGTTGTAGTGCCAGGGTTGTTCTGGGTGGTTTCAAGGGTGTTGCTAGGGTATGTTAGGTGGTTGCTATGGTTGTTGTATTCTCGGAGTTTATAGGTATTTTGGGTGGTTGCCAGTTTGTTGTAGTGCCAGGGGTGTTCTAGGTGGTTTCAAGGGTGTTGCTAAGGTATGTTAGGTGGTTACAAGGGTGTTGCTAGGGTATGTTAGGTGGTTGCTATGGTTGTTGTATTCTTGGAGTTTATAGGTATTTTTGGGTGGTTGCCAATTTGTTGTAGTGCCAGGGCTGTTCTGTGTGTTTTCAAGGGTGTTGCTATTGGGTGTGTTAGGTGGTCGCAAGGATTTTTGGGGTATTTTGCAAGGTTGCCGGAATGTTGTTGAGTTGTCCTGGGTTGTTTCTAGGATATTTTGAGAACATTCGAGAATTTTGTAAAGCCAGGTGTGTCCTGGGTGGTTGCAAGGGTGTTGTTGGGGTATTTTGGTGTTGCTGTTGTGTTTGATTTTTTTTTTTTTTTTTGCGGGTTGCCAGAATGTTTTGGGGTTTTCTGGGTGGTTGCTAGGGTGTTGTTGGGGTATTCCTGGATGTTGCTATTGGTATTTTCTCACTGGCAAAAAAGAAATCCTTTAGATAGCCTATGTTTGTTGTTATTGTTTAAAAAGAAACAAAAATGAAACATTTAACTAAAATAAATAACAAAACTGCCAGTGTTATTCAGTCACACACCTTAAATCAAACTTCTGAACATGGCCACTCATTCGTGCAGAACCCATCCAGCCGTGCATCAAAGAGGTTTAATTTGGAAGCACAGTGAGACCAGATCTAATCGGATGAGGGTTTTATTCAGCGGCAGCAAAATAAACAAGCTGTGAAAAGCACAATCAGAGCGGCAAAACCTTGCAGCCACACAGACACACACAACACCTTCAATACAGATCCAACTGATACAGGTGCTTGTGTCTGAGCGAGAGAAATAAAGCAGTAGAAGTGTTTTTCAAAACAGGAACTGGCATGTTCTTTTACCTTCTGGACCACAGCTGTAGACCCTTTCCCGTGATGCTTCTGTCTTTGGATTTCAAAAGGCTTTCTGCAAAACAAACACACACACTATGAATTAGGTTTCTGAATAGGTGCACCCTAATTCAATGATAAAATCAAAAGTCCATGATTAAATGTTGGACACAAGAATTCAGAAAATAAATTGGCAGACCCTTACATTAGTACGCAACTCAATTTTAAAAATAACATTATTTAGCACAAGCAAGTCTTCTTCTAACAATATCTGCAGTAAAGTGAAATACAGGCTGTCAAACTGTGCATGCCGGAATCTGCAAAAAATATTTATATATATATATATAAATATATTTTGTCTAATTTGAATATGCATTCAGTTGTCCATGTTAACAGCCATTCCGATTCTGTGTGGGTCTTGCAATAAACATCACGATGCCAGTGATTTTATCACAATTAAGGGAGTTATTTGAAAAAAAGAGGGACATAAAACAACAATGTAGTTAGCTGGCCATCGCACGCACACACACACGTTAAAGCCAATATTTGTCCAGATGGGGGCGATATTTCCTGTCTTTTAACACTGGCTGCATGACAGTCCCTGAAATTGTTTCTTCAGTGTCATGAACATTCCCTGCTCTCGTTTCAAAAGCTGATTTGATAAACAGAGTCTGTCTGAGTATTGAGGACATGAATGTGTTGTTCATTTCGACTGGGTTTGAACATGTAAGACTGGTTTCCAGCCTCCGGCTCGCTGACAGCATGTGCACCTCGCTCGGGGCTCTGGGGGGAGATCTGGGCTTTCTGCCTCTCCTGCGACCTCCACTCCAGGGCTCGGACTCTGGCCTGTGAGCGCTGGATGAAATCAGGCCGTCTCATCGCTAAAGCTTCCTGCACACAGGGAGACAACCCATAGCAATTCAATTCAAATTTGGGATTTATAATTTTACGTGGAAATCAAAATGTTCAAAACTACATCAGGAAAATCCCAGAAGTGATCTTATTAACATCTCGATTGTTTCTCCTAGACAGCAATAAGCTTCATGGAGAGGAAATGGAGACCTGTTTTAGACGATGATCATTAAGATGGTCATTAAAGCTGGTCGAGCTACCATGTTCAAAATGCTCAAGCCGTATGATAAGCTGGTGTCTGGTTTATTTCTAGTCAGGTAATGACCATTTTTGCACAAGCTAAGCTAAGTTCAGACCGTCTATAAACCAGCTATAAATCATGTACCAAAACAGCTTAGTATGTTTAAAATGGATTTTCCAGCAGCAGCAACAGCAGCAAAAAAAAATAAATATATATATTTATTTTACTGAAGTAAAAATAAAATTATATATGGAAATGATTAACTTACTATGAAATAGCCTATACCTTTCCTTTATAAAATATTTTTGAAACACAAATTGGATGTTGCAAGGAAGGAAATATTAACACCTTGCCAACAAAAAGATAACCAGATTTGTTTTATTTCCAACATAAAAACAAATCCAATTTAAAACAACCCAATTATTAAAACTGTCCTCTTGATTTCCAGTCTTTCGCATTCTGTAAATGTTAATATATAAAATACAGTTTTTCACCCAGAAATCCTCCATTTTAGAGGGAAAATTTGTCTGAAATGTCCTATAAGGCCAAAATCAATCACATATTTATATATAAATATTATTATTCTAAAATGTACAATATTATAAAACGGTTAGTTCCAATCATTGAATCTGATTGGTCAATAGCTGTGCTTTTTTCATGATAAAACACGGCTATGACCGCTTCACCCAATGGCTCTATGTATCACTGCGCAACACTGCAGTTATGTCGCTGTTTTTAAACTTATTACATCGATCTTACACATTAGAACGTTGTTGCTATTCACAGTCAGGGACTATTTTTTTTCTAGCGGAAGGACGGCTTTTAGTGATTTTACTTCATGAAAGTTGCACTAATACATTTCTTTTACTTTAATATTTTTATTGTGTGGTAACCGTTTAATAAAAGCAATAAGGTACTCGAGGCAAGTGCTGTATCGCGAATAAGTAACGGCTGAAGGGGTTACTCCGCATCGCGTCGAGCCTAACAACGCCCTTCAGCCGTGACTTATTAACGATACAGCGCAGCCTCTCGTACCTTATCGCTTACATATAGAATACTATAAACGGAAAACTGAACAATTGAGACAAATAGCTGTCTAGAATATTTTAGGGCAGAAGTACCTTCAAACAACAGAGTAACTCACGCTAAGTGACAATGCCGTTTCAGTAGGAACATTTTGGGACTCAACCGGAACAACCGCAACACATGGACTTGCTGGAGGCATTTTGTTCTTCCCATCAGCGCCAGCAGCCTCTTCATTATTCCCTCTATCCTCAGGTAAAGACACTGATTAAGAGAAACACACACATATTTTGTTATGAAACATGAGGTCTGTTTTAAAAAAAAAAAACCTCCCTACATAGGCAGCGTCATAGCAGTCATAAAATCACATCAATCTGTAACGCTTAACATTTAGGTAGGATTCGTGCAACAGCTCACAAGAGCAATCCAGGAAAAACTCCACTGATACTAAAATGTCCAGAATGCAAAGACAATGATTTTCTCAGTGTTGTCTATGTCTATATAAGATCTTAGATCTTGCTAAATGTCAGTGTCAAGTGAAGTTTGTGTTTGAGGAAGCCAAAGGTCAGGAGACTGCAGGAGACCTGCTGTTTTGGTGTGGGATGTAGTCTGTGTCTGCTCATCCTTCTGTCTGTGCTGGGCCTGCAGCTTTATGTTGGCGATAACCGCAGCAGCGTTCAGGGCCAGGACAGCGTCTGCGTTGAGATGAGGCGAGTTCTCTGAGAACAAAGACAGTGAGCATCATCCAAGAGTCCAGTCGGCCTGAAACACTCTCCTCGTGTGTACGGGAATGCAGATGCTTCTGGCTAGGCAAGCTGGACTTTGTTGATGCATTCAGAAACAAAAATGATGCAAGTATGCTACATACACTCTTAGAAGAAAAGGTTCTATATAGAATCTTAAAAGGTTCTATCAGCGCTACATATTTGGAACCCCTAAAAGGTTCTATAGAGAAGCCTTTTTAAAACTTCAATAATAAGAAAAAGGAAAAGGGTTCTATGGAACCTTTTGGGTTCATTCATTATCATTTGTTTTGTCCTTTCCGGATTTAATATTTCATATTATTGACAAACTTCAAGACCATAAAATGTATTTATGAATGATCACAAAATTCAAGATATGTATAAATGTATATTTATATCATTTTATGTAGTTAATCAATATCACACGAGTTTTTTTTCCTCCAAAAATCAGCATGATTAAAATGTGTTATTAAGTTACTACAACAGTTTAATAAACAATAATTACAACTACAAAATGTTGCAGAATAATGTAATATATGAATGAATAATAGCCTATAAAGAACCTTTGTGCAAAAAAGGGTTCTTTCTTGTCATTATAGAAACTTTTTTTTAGCATAAAAGGTTCTTTGGAGTCGAGTAAAGAACCCTATGCTTCATATATAGAACCCACAATGAACCCTTTTTTTCTAAGAGTGTACTATGGCAGAACGTTATATACTTCTGCTGCTATTACTGACATATTTACAATGTTAAACTAGAGACGGTGCATTTGCAATGCATTCAAGTCTGCATTAGCATACTTGTGTAGAATATGTTCTCGGCCTTTGGACAGAGAGAGAGAGAGAGAGAGAGAGAGAGAGAGAGAGATGTGAAAGCACAATGACATTATTATATTTCTGGTCTTTCGAGATCTCGAGAAATGTTTTTTCCCACCCTGAAGTCATTTTCTACACTGTAAAAAAAAATGATAATTTATTAATATATTTATTAATATAATAATTTATTTAGTTGAGATAACTTATTATTTTGAGTTTCTGATGATTTTGTATTAATTGGCTTTATGCCCAGCTGCACTACTTCCTGAACTTCAGCCAGCTCCTTGTTTCCTGTCTGCCATTATTGGCCAAATTGATTAATTCAGGTGTGTCTGATTATTGTTGCCACGACTACTGAGGTCAAGCACACCTGAATTAATTAATTTGACCAATAATGGCAGACAGGAAACAAGGAGCTGGCTGAAGTTCAGGAAGTAGTGCAGCTGGGCATAAAGCCAATTGAAATGACACTGTATTAACTCATTTTTTCCAGTTCAATCAACTTAAAATTTTAAGGCAACCAGGTTACTTACTTTTTTAAGTTAAACCAACATTATTTTTTTACAGTGTAGAGAAAATATTACCCGCAAATGTCCTAAAAGGTCAACTCAAAATCTAATCACATATAAAGTAAATAATGGCTTTTTAATCGTAAAGAATTCTAAACATTATCTCTTAGAGGTTTGAAGTCTGAAGTAATTGTAAATTACATCATTTGAAACAGTAGCATGTCCTCAGATAGTTAAACGCGTGTTCAGCGGCTGTCAGATTCTTCTCCATGCGAAGCTGCTCTAAATTCCCACAGAAGCTCAAAAACCGGTATTGAAAGCAGGGTAGAAATAGATTATGCATGCATGGGGATGCGTGGGAAAATGAAAAGATGAGAAAACGCATGACAGAAAGAGAGAGACAGGAGAGAAATCTCCAGTTTCAGGGCAGTGCGTCACATAAATGTGTATCTGCCTCAATTAAAAACCCTCATACGATAATACTCATCTATTATACATCAAAGTCGCCTTACAGTGTGTGCCGCTGAGAGTCCTGCTAGTACCTGACACTTTCAGGAGCGTGAGAGGTTTCATTTCTGAAACAGGTTCCTCAAACGCTCCATCCCACTCAAATCCCTCCTTCATTAAGCTCCTGGAGGTCGAGCGCCTTCTTGCTTCAGAGCTGCTGGAACTAACAAGGTCAATATTTGTCTTCTGGGCAACAGGAGAGCTCTTGTTGTGAAATGCTGGATCTGTAACTGCATTAGCACCATGTTCTGTGTGGTTAAACCAGCTTGCGTCACAGCTGAGAGGCCTTCGAAGTGGCTTGGTCTCCTCTTCTGTGGTGCTGTGCTTGTTGAGGTAAAGAGACAGGCTGGATCTGTGCTGGGACCTCCATTGGTTTCTGCCTGGCTCTAAAGATACTGGGTTTAATGGCGAGGGATGGACTTTAGATTCACTGGTATCGAGTCCTTCAGAGTAGCTGTGCCTGTTGGGCTTTTCTCGATTGAAATGCTCTCTCTGTTCTGTCATTTTCACAATAGTTGCCTTTCTCCTCAGTACCACGCCGTGGTCAATCTCCTCATGATTACAGCCGGGGGTCAGAGCGAGGTTCTGGCTGCTGGTGCTTTTCATCCGCTGTTCGGTGACTTTGACCACTAAGGCTTTTCTTCGTTCGGCGGCAGGGTTATTAGTCGCCATCGAGCTCAGGTGCCCGGATTTGGGAAGACTTGAAGTGTGTGTGACCTTCTTGGAAGTGATGGTGATGGATGATATTGAAGAGCTCAATGACTCTGGTGCACTTCCACGTCTGCATGTGGGATCTTTTAATGCGGGGTGGTCGGGATGAGGGGGAGACTGGCCCGTTTCCACCTTGCTGGTAAAACTGGCTTTAGGATTCCAGGCCTGCAGTCCATTTCGTCCTCCCTCGGAGCTCGCGGATAACGAAGCCTGGAAACAAAAAAACAAAATCCCTTGAATTGGGCTTTGTGTGGATGAAAGAGGTTCTTTCTGCCTCCTGCAGGCACAATAACGCTTACGGAATCCACATTGTAACAACTCGCCTCGTTCCGAAGCCGAGCGTTCTACCGTTTCCATAGCGACCGCGTCAGTTTTGGAACACTCAGGGGCAATTCGGTTAAGTTCCATGAAGTTTGAATTTGAGGCACTTCTTTATTATATCATGAAAATCACAGCAGAGCATTCAGTATATGGTGTGTGTGTGTATATATACGCACACGTTGGGTTTTTATGTTTTGTGTGATTTTTATACTGTACAAACTGTATACTTTATCCCATCACGCTAACCTACCGTACTCAGAGCCCGTTCTCATCCCAAAGCGCCATATAGGACGCTTTTGCAAAAGCATAAATATCCAACGCACATGGCACCCTTTAACGTGAAATGGGACGCAGATATATTTGGGCAGAAGGCGCCCCCTAGTGGTCTAACCCTTACCCTACACCTTACCTAAACTTAACCATAACTGAAGCGTCTCATTAGACGTTAAAGGGTGCCATGTGCGTTGGATATTTACGCTTTTGCAAAAGCGTCCTATATGGCGCTTTGGGATGAGAACGCGTTGGTACTCATCACAGAAAAATGTCTGCATTTTTATATCTCTTGGTATGATTTACAAGCTTGTTCTCACTCACTCACACACACACACACACACAGGTATGATTTATACCAATACAAATAGACACCTCTAAATCCAAACAGAGGAAGCATTAGCATTTCTTTTAATACTGAAACAGGATCAAGTTTATTTCACAATTACACTTTCTTTGGCCATACAACATCCCAGTGGCATAGAAAAAAGTTAAAGTTTAATCAATATAAACTGCTTAATTGCGTTGAGATTGATTTGTGTGTAGGTCATGTGAAATTAAGCATGTATCTGATTACACAATGCTTTTAAAAAACGTTTACTAGTGTTTCTAAATGAAACACTGCTGAGGAACAGAGGCACAGCATAGACTAACTTAATCAAGAGTGTAATATATCTCTAGGGCTCAATGAACATCTATTTTAGCACTTTAGATGCACACAACTTACAATTGGGTCAATCCGTGTCAACTCAAACAGAGGTCCTGCTGATCTTTTTTAATTTTGAACATTTTTTGTCTGGAGAAAAAAATGCATAAATGAAATACTGAGTAATCCACTATTTATAATAGCGAATCTATTTTATTTTATGGACTGAATTTGTGGAAAAATCTGCAGTGGAATAGATTTAAACATAGTAAAATGCTTTGCTAAATAAGGTTTAACACATTTATTGGTGGCAGTTAACATCCTAAAATTAGCTAAAATATTTGTAAAATAAATTTTACATATACTGTATGTACATATATACAAGGTAGAGTCTAAACTGGTAGATATCTAGAGCAATGGTGGGTGGAGTTAGTGGAAATAGCCTTTGCCAACAGGGTTGACTATTTGCACTTAGTGTAAATAGACACTGGTATTACTCAATTACTGGCATCAACATGCTTTTGAATCACGTTGATATGAGAAGCAGCAAGGCTTTATGAACCATATAATCATACAAATCTACATTAGCAGTGTCTTTTGGTTAAATACTGTATAACAATGAGGACAACAGACACACATCTCTGTTACTTTACCCTTCATGCTCTATTTAGGGTCTAAGAGACACAAAGGCCAATTTTATACATAATATTAAACAGTGAAACATCAGGCGAATACTGCATGATATTTTCATACAGTAAAGTGGTTATTAATGTAATTTATTCCTTGAGGTTCATTTATAATAAAACAAAACACATTTCCAACACTCATGCTGACCCTCTTTTCATATTAAATGCGCGGCTCCTTTGAGGCTTGTCAGGGCTAATATCTGCCTATTGGGTTTTGATTATTTCAGACGACCATATTAAACGTATTTGAAGGGACAACATAAGACTTTTCAACAAAACACAAGGCTTAAACATAATTAGTGCATGGTTTAACAGCAAGTTAGTTCCTATAAAGCAAACTAATGTTTATATACTAACCTGATGGAGGATGGATGTTTTATCAGGTGTCCTCCAGTATCTAAAGCCTGCAGGTTCAGGTCTCACAGATTCCCGTTCTGAATAAAACAAGAAAAGTCCACTTTGGGGTGATTTGTCAGTGTCTCTCATTGAGAAAAGAAAGCAAATATATAAAAAAAGAAGAAAACTAGAGATCTCCAATGCCTTTCTGCGTACACTGTAAATACAACTGCATTTCCTGCCACTCCTGTCATAATAAGGCCGATCTTCCTGCTTGTGTGTGTTTACAATGTCAACAGAGGTCTGCTTAGACTGACTTAACCTGCATCACTTACAGGTGTCAGCGAGACCGAGAGAAGGAGAGATTTTAATCCGACAGAAGAGACACAGACAGGCTCTGCCACCCGGCGTGATGGATTGTTCTCTGTCAGCGTTGCCATGGCATTGTCTGACAGCTAAGGCGCCAAGCTAACTGTTTCTTGCTGTCGTTTTTTAGGCAAGTAAACGCACTTCACACTGGCAGCTAACACCTGACAGGTAGCTATTTTCCCAGCATGCCCCCAGTATGCAGTTCAGCACGGCACACACTCTTGTCAGTTGCTCAGGTGTTGTGTGTCAGGTTGAGTGGTCGCCTTTGAGTCATGTAAGAACAACGCATTTATGCTCTTTATTACCAGCGGGAAACACCGGGAAGCTTTGGCTTTCCGAGTTGAGGGTGTGTTAATTAAATCGATCAAAATTGATCAAAATGAACAAATGCAATTGCAAAAACAAAAAAAGAGAGAAATTCCCAAACATTTTTGATGTAAACACTCATGGCGGCGGAGAGAGTGCTTCTCGTTCCTCCTCCTTCCCCTTGACTTGGTCCTGCTCTCACCACTGTAATTACACTGACGCTGTGGCAGCATCATTATACGCTCGTCACCTGCTGACAGACTGAGAGAAAGATCCCAGCAGCAGCAGCAGGAGAACTGGGAAGACAACCGCATTGAGGAAACCGCCGGAAGAGACTGAAAACCTAATACTCCTCGCTACCAGACTCCAACCAATCTGCTTCTGAACCCAAACAATCCGTCTCTGACTCCAAACAATTTGTCCCTGGCTCTAAACAATCTACAAAAACCCTTCCTTGGCTCCAAAAACGTGTATACAGTATATATATATATATATATATATATATATACAGTATATATTAGGGCTGTGCAAAAATTAATTGCGATTAATCGCATCCAAAATAAAAGTCTGTGTTTACATAATATATTTGTGTGTGCTGTATATAATTATTTTGTATATAAATACACACACATGCATGTATATATTTAAGAAAATGTGTTATTCATATATAAAATATTTATATTTATATAATATAGATTATGTATTTATATATATATATATATATACAGAATTTAAGCGCAAATAATTCTTAAATCTATACATGCATGCATAGGTATTTATATATACAAAATAATTATATACAGCACACACAAATATATTATGTAAACACAGACTTTTATTTTGGATGCGATTAATCTCAATTAATTTTTGCACAGCCCTAATATATATATATATATATATATATATATATATATATATATATACTACGGGTCAAATGTTTTAGATCGGTAAGATTTTTTATGTTTTTAAAAGAAGTCTCTTCTGCTCACCAAGGCTGCAATTATTTGATAAAATTATCAAATAATCGGATCACAACTAGACAAGGGAGACACGTTCCCATTTACACATGGTAATTTAATCCTAATTTAATCAAATGCCTAATAAATAAAAAAAAAACAGTAATATTGTGAAATATTATTACAATTTAAAACAGTGGTTTTATGTGAATATATAGTGAAGTGTACTTTATTCCTGTGATCAAAACTGAATTTACAGCATCATTACTCCAGTCTTCAGTGTCACATGATCCTACAGAAATTATTATAATATGATGTTCAAGAAACATTTATGATTATTATCCATGTTGAAAACAGTTTTTTACATTTTTATTTCAGGATTCTTTGATGAATAGAAAGTTAAAAAAAAAAAACAACAACAACAAAAAAACCAGAATTTATCTGAGATGGAAAGCTTTTGTAACATTAATCACTACCATTCAAAAGTTTGGGGTCAGTAAGAATTTATTTTTTATTTTTGGGGGAAAGAAATTAGAAAATACTTTTATTCATCATGGATGAGTTAAGTTGATCAAAAGTTACAGTAAAGACATTTATAATGTTAGAAAAGATTATATTTTAAATAAATGCTGTTCTTTTGAACTTTCTATTCATCATAGAATTTTGAGGGGGAAATGGTACACGACTGTTTTCAACATTGAAAATAATAATGTTTTTTGAGCATAAAATCAGCATATTGGAATGATTTCTGAAGGATCATGTGACACTGAAAACTAAACTGATGTTTAATCAGCAACAGTAATGATGTTGAAAATTCAGCTTTCAAATTACATTTTAAAATATATTAAAATAGAAAACAGTCATTTTAAATTGTCATAATATTTCACAATATTACTGTTTATCATTTTTTTTCATCAAATAAATCAGCCTTGGTGAGAAGAAGAGATTTCATTTAAAAACATCAAAAATCTTACTGATCTAAAACTTTTGACCGGTCCCTGGGCTGGAGGCCTAGTAGCACCGTAAACCAGCTCAATCTCTTCCATCTCAGATAGGGGTATTACTTTATTTTATTTTTACTCTTAACTGTTTTTATTTATATTGATTGCATTTACTGAGTTCGTCCGACTGTTACTGTACTTCATTTTATTTTTGATTCTAAATTGTTTTAATTATTTACTGTATTTTATTTTTATTATTATGATTTTTTTATTCTAAACTGTTTTAATTATTCAGATTTCTTTTGATTATTTTAATTTCTTCCATGTAAAGCACTTTGAATTGCCACTGTGTATGAAATGTGCTATAGAAATAAACTTGCCTTGCCTAGTGTATATATATATATATATTATACAAGTACTCATTTAATAGTGACATTTTGATCATTTTTTACCCAAAAAATCTTAAAATTGCAGTGCATTAATAATATGCACAGCTGATTCACTGTGAAGATGCTATTTCATACCACCACTGTGTAAAACTCAAATCTTCAGACATAAATCACTAGTGCCCTCCGCCAGGCTGTTCATTCAGAAATTTAATATGCCGTCATAGTCAATACGCACCATTTGGTCTTGGTCCATTACGTTTATCAGGAGTGCTGAGCAACACTGGAGTGATGGGAGACTTCAGTTTCTGCTGGAAGAACACACACAGACTTCATACAACAGACAGATATGATCAGTCGCTAAAGGATTGTATTAGATAACAAAAGCATTAGCGGAACAGTCACGATTCTGCATTCGTGTCCTTGATTCTTTCCCTAGTCTTGAGGCAGGATCATGACAAACCCATGTTTTGTGTGCAAGCACATGACCTTTTGAGAGGGCCATGTGCTTGTGTTGTCTCGTTACCTGACCCCGCCCCGTTTTATGATGTAACAAAGCCTTATTTACTTGAATCATGTGACTTTGGAAGTTTGCTCCAAATCACTGCTTCAAAACAAAGCTCGATGAACTATCACCTGTGATCATTCAGACATTTTGAGTGTGTGTCCAAACCCTACTGAAGTTTGAGCATAAAACGACTAAAGTGAAAATATGCACGGTTCACAAATGCTTTAGATTCGGGCCCTGCAGCTCTGTTGTGATCCTGTTGTTGGCTCTGATGTGGTTGAATCTATTCCTTCCTAAATCTGTCCCGAATGGATCTGAGCACCTGCTGACAGAGCGGTTTTATCTCGACTTCATGCAGCACCCAGACAGCCACTGAAGTTCATGTACTTGACAGTCATCCAGATATTTTTCTCTCTTTCCCTCCTTTCAGTTTTCTATTTCACTCTCTCTTTCTGGCATCAGTTGGCACTAAGGTAAATCAGGTCTGAGAGCTCGGCTGTTCATTTCCGGGATTTGTTCCCAGTGGAGGTGAGAGTGATTGTTGTGCAGTGGTGGCAGATAGTCTGCAGGACTCGGAAGGCTTTTATCTCCAGTGCGGATGACTCAATCACTCTGAACTTAGGAGCAAAACTAGTTTGATACTGTATAGAAACCATAGTGAGGCACTAAACAGCAACATGTGACATATTACGGAACTCCCACAGATCAGTTATTACATCTTTAATCTTATTTCCATATTTTTTTTTTAACCCTTGTGCATCAATTAAAAAAAGTTACACATAGGTAAAAAGAGGACAAAAATGTCCATGTCAAAAAACTGTCATAAAAATGTGACGCTTTGGAGCACAGACTTAAGTTTGGTATCATTTTAAAGAAGACCCTTTGCAGATTATTGATGAAGTAAAAAAATAATAATAAGTAAATCCCAAAAAAAGTTATATAGGTATAAGTTTATGAAAATTATTTATAAAACATATTTTATATAAAATATATATTTTATAAATCAGGTTGAACTCAAAACTACAATAAAACCAAAGCCATAAGTCTAAATAGGTTGTGTTCCAAATTTGAGGATGATATCTCAAAAAATGAGCTTTCGGTAACAGTTTGTTTGGGCGTAGTAACATATTTTCCCCATTGGGTGCCAGCAAAACCCCACTGGAGCTCACAGTGATTGGATTTGAATTTGCAGTTTTTCTCTCTCAGTCTGACAAACACACACATGCGCACACACACACATATTTTTTTATAACACACATACTAACCACACTCTGACATCCATACCAACACACCGACACAAATATCGTTGCATAATTTATCCAGTTGGCTCTATAATATGCCGAACCAGAAAACAGGAATAAAGCGACATTTGTTTTATAGGCCAAACTTAAAAAAAATGGCACCATCTGATAAAAAAATAGTAAAAAATAAAATTTTGAAGCCTTGCCATCAGAATGAAAGCCTCTTAACAAAGATTGCATAATTTTATAGTTAACTGAACCGGGGATTAAAAATGGCAGTTTTAATGGATTTCAATGGGGACATTTTTGTCCAAAAGGGGCTGAGAGGGAGGATTTTTTGTACCTAATGCAAAAAATATTTTTTTAAGAAAATGACGGTGAAATAGTAAAATTCCAATAAAAATACACACCTGTGCCAAGTTTTTTGCAGTTAGCTTTAACACAGACAAAGTGGTCAAAAAAACAAAACTGAAAAGGACAAAAATGTCCACAAGGATGCACAAGGGTTAAAGTTTAGAATCTTGCTGTTTTTATAGGGCTGAACTTAAAGCAGTAGTTCACTTTAAAAAAAAACAAAACTTTTGCTGATAATTTACTCACCCCCATGTCATCCAAGATGTCCACGTCTTTCTTTCTTTAGTCGAAAAGAAATTAAGGTTTTTGATGAAAAGATTCCAGTATTTTTCTCCATATAATGGACTTCAATGGGAACCAAACGGTTCAAGGTCCAAATGAGAGTTTCAGTGCAGCTTCAAATGGCTTTAAACGACACAAGACGATGAATAAGGGTCTTATCAAGCGAAACGATCGCTCATTTAAAAAATAATAACAAAGTTTAAGTTTTATAAGCTCAAATGGTCGCCTTGCTCTGTTCTGTGACGCACGTTTGTGACTCTCCTGTTCGAACTCGAATCTTTTTCCGAGTCAATTCGTTCATTTCGTTTATTGAATGAACCAAATGACTCGAAAAAAGAATGTTTCTTCTGGAATGCTGGAATGTTTTCATCAAAAACCTTAATTTCTTTTCGACTGAAGAAAGAAAGACGTGGACATCTTGGGTGAAATGGGGGTGAGTAAATTATCAGCAAAAGTTATTTTAAAAGTGAACTACTCCTTTAATGACAGTTGTCACAAACATGCATAAAACTTCCTTCATATTTATAACATATGTCATGTCATGATTATGAAGGTGTCATGTTAGTCTTATGCACATTCCTTCAAGTAAAGTGTTACCCATTATTCTTTCTTACCTGGCACCTGCTGTTGTCTTGGCTGTTGTTAGAGATGTCCGTCAGTATCACATGTCTTTGTATGGGCAGCCAGCCGAAGTGAACCGGAGCGAGGGCACAGAACTCAGCTCTTTCTGCACCGGGAGCAGGTTTAATGTGAACATTGCTCATTGCTTTAGACTCCAGGCTCTCACAAACAGAGCTCTGATTCCTCCTGCCGAGAGAGGAGAGGTCAGGACAGAGTGGGGAACTTCCCGTCATCTCATTTGGGAGAACCGGTGTTGAACAGGTCCTGTCCGCAAACTGAGGTGTTTTCTTCTGAAGAGGACGTGATTCTAGTGTCTGAAGCCATTTGTCCATCCTGCCACCTTCTATGCAGCTCTGTGGACGAGCTCTGCGACGGGGCTCATTCACCTGCGCCACAGGGCCCTCATAATAACCTCGCTCTCCAGGCCTCCTCCATGATGAGGACCTGCGAAGGAGACTCATGCTGTTGGGCTGAAGTATCTGCAACCGTCACGTCGTCCATAAAAAAGACAAAGAAAATTCATCTCAACAAACTTGAATTCATCACAAACTTCCTAATTGAGCTCATTGATTTGAGTCTTCTCATAAAGTCATCAACATTCATGCGTTTACTGCTCTCCATTATTGTAAATATACATCAAAACATGCTGATAAATGGGATACATTCACCAGAAAAGCAGACTAGAGAGAGTTCTAATGATTTGCAAATGGTTTTTATAGATTTTTTTTTTTTTTTTTTTACAGTGACGTCCTAATTGAGCTCATACTGCGGCGTTCTCTCAAAAAATCGATACAATTCTACACAGGAACACATTCAAGTAACTGACATGAGAGCTTGCATGGTTAACAGAACTGTTTACCTGCGTCACACGGCTCCTCTGAGGACGACACGATCTGACTTCACGAGACGACGGCAGTGAGACGATTCTTCTCGCAGTGTGAAGAGGAGCCACTGGTGCCGTCTCCTCTCAGACATCACTATAAATGTGTGTGCTAGTCTGAATGAACAAAAGACTTACTGAACAACTTCTGTTTTTCACTGGGAGAGGGATGTGTGTGTGTGTTTGCTCGTAGCCAGCAAATACCCCCTTTTTCAACTTAGACATTGGCTTTGGGTTTTGTTTGGTCTGAGTTGTTTTTAACATTCATCTTAGTGAACTGTGCAGTTTAACACAGATAACCCAAAGTGAAAAAGAAACCCTGCTAAGTGTACAACTTCCATTTTCTTCTCTTTCAGTTTAAAGGAAACTAGATGTGAACATTTTCAGAAAGTGCAGGGGCTTAGTGCAAAACTCACTGCTGAAACGCAAGGGCATTGTGGGTGGTTTTAACGAGCTAACGAGTAGGTGGTTGATGGGTAGTTGCTTACTTAGTTTTCAAGTTTTCAAAATATCCCACTTTCAAGTATTTCTGATATAATATTCTGGTCTCTAGATATGGCTCGGTTCCCTCCTTCATTATAAAGTTACTGGATTTTTTTTTTTTTTTTTTTTGCATTATCCGCCTGGCAAAAAAACAAAAAAAAAAACAGTAATATCCTATGCTAAACCTAAACTAATCTTTACAAACTATATATCATTTGAAAGCAATCTCTAGTTTCCAGATTTGGTGATTGATTACTCCTAAAGCGTGTTAAGACCTTTATTTTGAAAACATGAAAAATCATGAAAGAAGGGTGGAAACCTCAGTTTGTTTTCATGCCAAGAGTTCAAAAGATAGCATCCATTCAATTATTTTAGAAAAAAAGTCAGAATTATTTTAAATCTAAAGAAAAAAAAAATTAAACAATTTGAAACACCACTTGTTCAGATTTTTGGCTTCGATTTTTTTGTAGTTTTAGAGTCGCCCAGGTTTTCAAAATACATATTTTAGCCTATATATAAAATATGAATAATTAATTTTTTTACATTGTACATTTTCATAAACTCAAACTTCTATAACTCTTTTTTTCTGTTTAACTTTCTTACTTTATTTAACTTCTATCAGGAACCAGTCAGTTTCTGGTCCCTGTGACTTCCACAGAAGTCAATGGGACCAAAAACTGACTGGTTCCAGAAGTTAAATAAAGTAAGAAAGTTAAACAGAAAAAAAAAGAAGTTTGAGTTTATGAAAATGTACAATGTAAAAAAATTAATTATTCATGTTTTATAGCTATAAAATATGTATTTTTAAAACTTGGGCGACTCTAAAACTACAAAAAAATCAAAGCCAAAAATCTGAACAAGTTGTGTTTCAAATTATTTAATTTTTTTTTTCTTTAGATTTAAAATAATTCTAACTTTTTTCTAAAATAATTGAATGGATGCTATCTTTTGAACTCTTGGCATGAAAACAAACTGTCTGGTTACTGATATTCTTCTAAATATCAGAAAATCGTCTGAATGGATTAGAAAACGGCAAAACTCTCTTTAACTCTGGGGTAGTTGTAAAATAAGCCTATTTCCATAAAAAGTGGAGTATCCCTTTAAACTTTGGAGTTTGTTCAAATCACTAACCTTACATGAGCAATAATAATAGCGATGCTTGGCTTAGCTATAGCAAACTAATAGGCCTATAGCAAACGCCACTAATGAATAAAAAGAACACTTGCTTTCACCATCTTTACTACGAATATCTTACTACAAAAGTGCTATGGTAGAGTATGCCATATTCATACAACGCTATCATGGTAAATGTATCTGAACACCATAACAACCACAGAGCAACATCATGGAAACCACCAAAACTCTAGAGTCACATCAGCGAGTCTTTCCGCGGGTAAACAGCAGTCAGAATATCAAGTTTTGGACCTGTGTTTTAAGACAAACTCATATCTGGGTTAAAACCGTAACATCGAACACACACAGAGCAGTTGTGTCCAATGTTTCGGAGCAGGGCATGTGATCGCCAGGGCTGCTGGGTAATTAGCGCTTCAGGGAGTTGAATCAGATGATGAGGTTGTTAGTGTTTGTGTCGGGCCACCCACATGATCTCTCAACACCACCAAGGCAATGAAAGCACACACATCTTCAGGGTGAAGAAGACGCTCTGTCTCGGACCGGTTTCTGTAAACAACTCATCTGTTCCCAATCGGCTCTATAGACCTGTTAGAGAAATCGCAAATGATATCTCTCAGTTGTTTCTCTACACATAAATAGCATTAAATGGGTGTTATTTAGGACTTTAGGATTTATTTAGGATTTAAAATAGGACTTTTTCTTGTCGACTTTACATCTTCAGATGTTTCTTCTGAGAAAAAGACATTATAAGAACTCGAGTTTAAGAGTTATTGAGCGTGTTTCTCAATAACTTTGATCGCATATTTGTCTGCAATCAAATCAAATTCTCCCAAAACCAAAATGATCTGAGCTGCTATTCTATAATTTTATACTTTTACACAAATTCTGATTAGTGAACAATGTATCTGGCCAAACCTTGACATGAATAAATTTATCTCAGCAACATTTCATCTAAAGCCGTTCACATAACTTGGACAAGCTGCCGCAGTAAAGACATTAAGCTTTCTTAAATAGCTCACCATTTTCTTCTCAGTCTGAATACAGATTTTCCGTCTCATGTGACATGGAAATGCGGCTGTTCCCAGATGTTCTAACATCATTATTCTTGTAATTATGTGTTTCCTGTCTGCCCTTATGGACTCTATGTTCGTAATAGTATTCTACCAGTATGCATACAGTGTCATTTTTCAAAATAAAATCTTTCTATAAAACGTCTGATTGCATGGCACCTTGGAAATAAAAATGTTGTGTTAGCAAATTTAGTATAAAAATGTCTTAAGGTAAAAAATGCATGCAAAAAGATGATTTGCATACAGCATAATATATGTTCAGAATAGTATACTACCATATTTCTGCAGTATGCATACTGAGCATGCCATGTAACTTGTATTAGCATTTGTGGAAAAAAAAGAAAGAAAATAGATTGATATTGCATTGCATGCAAATATATGCATAGATACAGTCGGCAACGCGTCATAGTTGGGGGGCGTGGTCGGTGTGGGGGAAAGCAGCGCGACCATCCTATTTGAATGACAAAAATGTCATATTGCGAGTCATTTATGCCTGCCGACCGGCAACGGTACATTGCAAAATTAACTGTAATAGGTTATGATTGCCCTTATTTAATTAAAAAACTGGGTCAATGACCCAACCAAATGGCCGGAGGTGTCGTTTCCAGACTATTATATCTGGTTGAATCTTCAGGTAAGACATCGCGGAAGCTACCGGCAACACAAGCCTGTAACTCAATCAACTTGCGTATTTTTACTATAAGTCCATAAAACCATGTCACTTACCAATTGTACGTATGCTTCACTCCAAACTATTAATCCTTTTGTAAAACGGTGATCATTGTAGTCGCTACGAAGTTGCAGAGGGACTTTGCTGACAGTTATCCGAATTCTCACAGACTGCAGTCTGATAACCTTCAGCTGATAACGCTAATAACATCCCTTATGAAAAACAACTAAAGGAATCTTGTAGTATTTTAGGACAAAATATTATAGTAACGTTAATCCTATAGGAATACTATAGTATTTTGGGACATAGCCTAGAAGTATAGAGGTATTAAAGAACATCACAGAAGTAGTATACACTACTATAGAATGCTAATAGCCATAGGATTACTATAGTTCTTTTTCGTACGGGATGTAACGTCAGACAAATCTGGCCCACTGCCTAATACGAGTTAAACATCTACTACTAGTATATCACACGGACCTCTACTCACAGTAATCTAATAAGATATGATTAATTTTGCCATTTTGTCCTCCTATCCGGTTCTGTATGTATGTAAGAAAGGCTGTAGAACTTCAATTTATAATTTGTTTGTTTATTGGTGGTACAGAAAACGACACCGCAACTCTTCGGCATGATTGTCCCATGTATTTCAATGAGCGCCAAGGCAATGTTTTCCCCCACGGGCTAAATTCACACCACGTGACGGGGCGTTCCCGGGGGCGTTCCCAGACCAACCGACTGTATACATATTAGGTTCGTAATAGTATAATTATATAATTAATATAATTTCTTTTAATCTTCTCATTACATGATACCTTGCTACTAAAAAAGTGTAATTATCATTTTTGGTAAAACAAAATAAATCAATTTTGAATGCATAAATATGCCCGGCACATACAGTATGTAATGACCTGGCAGTCAGCGCTAGCAGTTGGGTGCATTATGGGTAATTTTTTATTGAGAGTTGATTTATGTGTTATTACAGCAAGATCTTTAAGTTGTTGTTATAGTAAAGTTATGTGTGTAATGTTCAAGTTGATCAGATGTTCTTGGTTCATTTACTGCCTAATGTAAAAATGTGTCCCTCACCGTTGTTGAGAGAGATGTGTAAGGCAATAGGGCCCTGCCTGAGTAATCATTATTTCTTTCTTTATTCTGCAATAAAAGAGGAAAAAAACAGTGTCACTGCCTCTTGTTGGTTTATGTGTAAACACTCTGGGTCGTGCGGTGTATGGGACACGAGTGTTCTTATCTCATTTTAGGATTTAGCTTAGGAAAAGTGTTATTAGCATAATTTAGCTCCGGTTAGACTCACGTTTTATTTGGATAGCTACCAGCTATTACAATATGTTGTGAATTCCCTGAGCAGAACTACCGGCGCCCCCTGCAGGATGAGGACGCCACATCTGAGGGAAGTGCACTGCTCTACTCATTAAGGGGAAGACTGATATGATGATGGAAGTATAAATAAACAGATTGGTGTGTGTTGAGTTCGGTCCTCTGATGTTGGGACAGGTCAAAATTCTTTTACTGATAATAATGAATCTCTTTATCATTAGAGCAGAGAGAAAAGAAAGAGATACGGAAGCTTGTGTGACTCACACAATCAAAGCTGGACATTATTTTCCTGTGATCAATTTGGCTTCTAAATTTAAGTGGATAATTTGTGGTGTTGTTCTCTGTGCATTGGCCTCAACATTGCTTACTCTCTGTATTTACGGAGGGATTTACTAATTAAAGCTGTCAAATGTTTCCCAAGGCTTAATAAGCAGAATAAGAAAGGCAATGGAGAAAAATGAATTGAACAATTCACCCTAAACTAAACTTCTGTCAGCATGTGCTCTCCCTTATGCCGTTCCAAACCCATTTAAAGATGTCCTCCGTTTATGATGAGATGTTCGTCCATCTGAGCAGGGGCGTTTTATATGAAATTCAAATAATCAATAGTACAAAAAATCTGAAAAAGAAGATGAAATAGAGGTGTCATGTAATGAGAAGATTAAAAAACATTTTAGAAAGAATTACTGTGTTCACAGTACGCATACTTCCAAAAAAATAGTATATGGTATATACTACAAACCTGTTTAGTAATATGTGTACAGTATAGCATATATTTTTTTATGCATGCAATATCAGTCTATATATATATATATATATATATGAAGAGTTCAGATGCAAAAGCCTCTAAGTGCCATTTGAAATTTTCTCCTAGAATGATCATTTTTATCAAGCTTGTATACATAAGTTCAGTGATTTCACTTAAATGACAATGATAATTACCTAATAATTGCCATTTAAGTGAAATTACTGAACTTAAATATACAAGCTTGATAAAAATGATCATTCTAGGAGAAAATTTCAAATAGAGGCTTTTGCATCTGAATTCTTCATATATACGCACAAACTATGCACAAAAATGCATACTATGAACTGTATACATATTCGTAATAGTGTACTATCACACTGCTTACTATTTTTTTCTGCATAGTTTGTGCATATATAGATATATAAAGATTGATATTGCATGCATAAAAAATATATGCATACTATGTACTGTATACTTATGAACCTAATATGTATACAGTACATAGTATGCATATATTTTTGTGCATCGTTTGTGCGTATATATATATATATATATATATATATATATATATAGGGCTGTGCAAAAATTAATTGCGATTAATCGCATCCAAAATAAAAGTCTGTGTCTACATAATTTGTGTGTGCTGTATATAATTATTTTGTATATATATATAAATACACACAGATTCATGTATATATTTAATAAAATGCGTTATTCATATATAAAATATTTATATTTTATATAATATAGATTATGTATTTATATATATATATATATACAGAATTTAAGCGCAAATAATTCTTAAATCTATACATGCATGCATATAAATAATTATACACAGCACACACAAATATATTAAGTAAACACAGACTTTTATTTTGGATGCGATTAATCGCAATTAATTTTTGCACAGCCCTAATATATATACATACAAACTATGCACAAGTGATATTTACCTCACACATTGATGGGCCACCGTCAGAGAGCATGGAGCTTTGGGCCCACCGCAACTTTTTGGACTCGAGATCATTACTTTAGTGTCGTGTGCATTACCACCAGGATGGTGTTTAGTATTTGTGTGAATGACACTGTGCAGATTTTATGTAAATTGACCTTCTCAGCTTGTGGAAAACGTATCTCAGCGAAAACTCAACCTATCGACGGCAAATTTTTATCGGGTAGAGAACAGGCCGAGACCACCAATAAATAGCAGAAAAGCAAAAAAGCTGTCTTTCTGACTGTACATTACATATTAGACTGGACATAACGATGATGAAGTGTTTGTGCTCTGTTCTTCAGGCTGAGAGAGAGAGAGGTGTAATGTGACGGGTCCGCACTAAACTAACAGTGCTCTGATGTATATATACACTGATTAATGGTAAACAGCCTCTTCACCCACTGCAGGGCCATGCACAGAGTGAGAATAAATCATTCATTTCTCATAAAGGGACGAGTCTGTGGGCTAACAATGCACGCACATTTCTCTAACATCTATACCGATGAGAACCAAGCTTCAGATGAATGCAAACGAACTCCTTTTTAAGTTGTTTATGTCAAATCCCTGGATTTTTTCGTTTCAACAACTGAACAAAGAAGAGGAAGCAATGTATTTTTGGACGTCACCAAAAAGGTTCATTCTTGAAATATTTTGCATTGTGTTATGAATCAAAAGGCAATCTTTTTCCCACAGAGCAGCTTTAATTACAAGCATCTGGGGATGGTTTGTGTGCAAAGCAACATACTTTCACAGAAACAACAATTAACCTCAAACGGAGTGATAATTTTTCTGGAAAAGCAGGAATTAAGGGAAGTCAGTCGCTAAGAGACGCTATCCCAGAGCAATCTTTTCTAATTGGTCCCCATAATCAAATTTTCAGCAGTCGCCACAGTCTGCATGCTATTTGTGACAGCGAAAATTGTCTCGTTAGGAGTATTAGAGGATTCATGATGTTTTATGCAGTGCTGTTAATTATGTTTTCCATTTTTTGATTAAAAATCTTTTTTTACTCAAAAACTAGGACAGAGGCGACGGAAAACAGATTAGTCTGTTCAGAGCCCAGTCAAAATAAACATTTGAGAAATTTGAGTTTCATCATGGGTCATTCAAAATACAAACACATGTGCATGCACACACAGTTTATCAAGGTTCACACAAAAATATGTAGTTTTCAACATGATAAAAACTGTTTCGTGATCAGAAAATCAGCATGTTAGAATGATTTCTAAAGGAGCACGTAACACTGATGTGGAAAATTCAGCTTTGCATCACATGAATAAATGGCATTTTAAATTATAATTACAATATAAAACTCAAATATTTCACAATACTGTATTTTTTAATAAAAAAAAATGCAGTCTTGGTGAGCAATCTAACATTTCAATGGTAGTGGATACACTCTCAGAAAAAAAAAGGTACAAAAGCTGTCACTGGGGCTGTACCTTTTCAAAAGGTACACTTTTGTACCTAAAGGGTGCATATTGGTACCTTAATGCATACATAATAGCACCTAAAATGTACACATTAGCACTTAATTGTATATATTAGCACCTAAAATGGACAAAAGTTTACCTTTTGAAAAGGTACAGCCCCAGTGACAGCTTCGGTACTTTTTTTTCTGAGAGTGTAGGGGTCTAACAATATATCATACTACATTAAAGTGTCTTAGTGTTTTAGTGTCAGTAGTACTACATTAAACTATACAAATATTGGTTATAATGTATAAAAGTGCAATGATGGAATATTTGTGGGTCAAAATTTATTGTTTGTATTCACTCAACATGACAAAACTTTATGTTTGAGTATTATGTGGTTAATTTTTTTTTTTTTTTTTTTACCAAATTTTATTTACATATGACCTCTGTAAGTGTTGCAAGATATTTATTTAGCAAAAAACATTTTCTTTTTTTCTTTTGCCCTTGTTTACTTTATATTTTTGATTACCCCTTGACCTCCTTGGCATATGTTTGATTTGTCCATAAATTTTGTTGATGTACAGAAGATGCTGTTTTCCTGCTGTATGTTCTGATTTTGAAAAAAACAAACAAACAAAAAACAAGTAGGCTATAACAAAAAAACAAACAAAACAAAACAACAACAACAAAAAACAAAACAAAGTTGACTTTTGAAAAAACTTTAATAGCACTAAAATTTTTGGTCGTGGTGGGAATGATGCCCAAACTATAATAGACAGTCTTGTTTTAAGAAAAAATGCATATATTATTATCATACAAATATATATATATACACTGCTCAAAAAAATAAAGGGAACACTAAAATAACACATCATAGATCTGAATGAATGAAATAATCTTATTAAACACCTTTTTCTTGTTTTTACATTTTGGGTGTTGTTTAAGTGTTCCCTTTATTTTTTTGAGCAGTATATATATATATATATATATATATATATATATATATATAATCATAAATATATTTATGGCTTTCATAACAAAAATAAACTTTCATAACAAAAATAAATAATAATAAAAATAAATCTGTGCGTTTTATTAAAAGAAATTGTATGCTAGAATATTAATACTTAGGCCTACTCACCTATTTCGAGTCACAAAATTTGTATTATTATAGGCTACTTATACTTTACTCTGATATTATAGCGACCATGGAAGTAGTTTTGTGAGGGACTGTCCGGGACTGTCCGTCCGGTCGTCCGGTGACGCTGGTGTCCCACATGACAGAAAGTTTCTTACATCTCCCCCTCGCGGTTCATGGGTTCAGTGATGGTGGAAAATGGCGGCTAGATGAGTCTTTCCACTCCTACAGAGAAAAGAAAAAGTGTGTGGAAAAACTGGATATATATATATTTGGAATAGCGACAACAACACTCACGGGCCTCTCACAAACCTTCTTCATCAGTGAGGATGTCGCGCTGGGTGCCCACGAAGAAAGAGAAGTACGGAGTAGGTGAGTAAAGAAGGAAACTTGCATGAACTAAACTTCTTAACGTTACAAAAGTTGGGGCACACATGGTGAGATTCTATATTTCCATGCCAATTGAGGCTATTTGAGGATGTTTTGTGCTGAAGTGGTTTTTGAAGTGATTGTATGAATGCGCTATTAGGCTAAATATTTGAGATGTGTGTGAATGTGTGTGTGAGATTGACACAGACGCGCCTAGTTCCAGTGTTTCCTGCGCGGCGGCCCGAATGGAGCTCATGGATACATTGTTTCTCATTGTTACTCGCTCGCTGATACTTTGTAACAAGTTTTCGCGCCGTTATGTTTTGAGAACATGTCGTGCTTGTTGTGTTTTCCCGCGGAAGATTCTTTACACACACCCGCTGCTACTTTCTTTCATTCGCCCGATTGTTTTGTTTGTATTTCACTGTTAACCTGGACACATTCAAATATTTAAAAACCGTGATTTCCACTCACAGATTTACATACACATAAGTTACATGGCCTGAAATATTTCAATGGATACTCACTGATACTGAGTATTTTATCTCTGTTGCTTATATATGCTTTTAAATCCATATCCAGAATCATAAATACTGGGAAAGTCGAAACGCGTGGGAAGCCTGATGTAAACAAACTCATTTAATTGGGTTAGCTACTATATACGTAATACTATTCGGGCTAAGTTTTTGTTCTTAAATGCGTGTTTTAAATAATGAGTAAATATTGTGTAAAATATTTTTATAGCCTAGCAATTTTGTGCAGATATTACATTTAACTACTCTCTAGAATACTCAATTCTTATTGGTCTGCACTCAACATCTTTGGTCAGTGTCACTGATTTCATTTATCACAGGCAACTGATTGCCAACATATCTGATTTCATTTTTCATCATTCCTGGTGAGCTTCCTATGACTTGCTATACATCCAAGTCAGAAAAACTACTACATCTCTGGTTCGTATGTGTCCAAACATGTTTAGAAGTAGATGTTAGCCAAGCACATCCGCAGTAAAGGAAAGTTGAACTATTTTCCAGGCGTTTCTTCCTTCTCGTATATAATGATAGATAGACTGGATTGTTGTCAGGTTACGGTGTTGCCTCGTTCCTCAAGCTGTGATTGACGGCTCTGAGTTGGTTATTATTAGTCATGAAATTTTCTTAACTGAACTGTTTCCTTTAGTTTACACAAATAAGAAAGTTCTTGAGAAGGAGGTTTTCTGAGTTTCTGAGATAGAATCTTAATCCCATCTCAACTGGAGAAGAACTTGCATTAAATGTTGGATCCGTGGGATCTTTTATCGGCAGCAAACTCAGTCTAGCCCATAATTCTGGATTTATCTGCACTCCTTGATGGAGACTCAAAATATCTCCAGCGTTCACGTCAGATAGAAACTTCTGCTCTGCTTGAGGTATTCACTTCTTTTGAAACATTGTGGTCTTTACTGGTTTGTGTTGCTCAGTGCTTTTATAGCGACTTCCACTCTGAGCGCAAAGGAGCACAAGGCGGTGTGTAGAAATGTTGAGTCTTTGTTGTGTGTGTGTGTGTATTTTTAGCCTGAGGGTGGTTGAATTCCACTTTGTTGAGTTTAAATAGTTTTGCCTCAGTATTGGTGTAATTTAAATTCTCGAGTGCTCTCTTGATAGACTAACATGTTAAAAGTGGCATCGTTTTCTGTCAGCCTCTAGGTTATATAGGCCTTCAATGATTGATTGATTGGATTTATATAGATAGTCTTCTTATTATCCCTTGCATTGTTCCTTGATACACCATGATGTGTTGGTGAAATTTCAGAATAGACAGGTTGTTTTGTGCGTTTCCCTTTTCTAACATCCAATTTAGAATTACAAGCATTTTTAAAAAGATCTTTTCTGTAAATTAATTATTCAGTGACGAACTAATGTAGCAAATGAGGCATGCATTACAACAAAAAAAAATCTCTCAAAGTCTGATCAAACAAGTGTTCGGAAGAGACGCTTGAGATTCATATTAATAACACAATGTGTCGTCTTGACCTGCCACCTGTGACCTGATCGACTGAGACTCATGCATGTTTTGCTACGTTCACGCCATGTCTTAATTAGTGTAATTTTGAGAAGATGACATGATATTTTGCTCAGCTGTTCATGCGCTCAAACTATAGCCCCGTTCACACCGTCAGTGACATTGTCGCTGTGTGTCGTTGGGCTCGGTACTGTGATGTCGCTTGTGGGCGTTCGTAGTGCCGTCGCTCTGATGTTATTGTTAGACTGCACGTCTGACCATATCTCTATACAAAAAAATACTGTCACAAGTGATATATATCGCCTAGTATATAATTCTAATTTGACTTGGAGGCTCAAAAGAAACGGTAAGCTGTTGGGAGAGTTTGTTTATCTTACCACAGCAGTGTTCAGAGGGTTAAATAATTTATTTACTAGATTAATGATTGATCAATCAACAAATTATACTCTAGAGCCAAACCGATATATCGGCCGATAGGCATTTTTTCAAAATATCGGTATCGACAGTTATAATGGCCGATAAATTAATATTTAAAAAATAAAATAAAAACAGACGAAACACGCTTCAATCATCTCTCCTTGGCCTTTTATATTGAAAATGTATGTTTTACAAATGCAGTATGATGTTATCTATTGTTAAATTATGGCTCAGCTAACCACAAAGCTAGCTAATGCAACTATCATCAGTGGAAGACCGCTAATGTTAACATTAATGAGCTTGGAAACCTTTCCTGCCTAAATAAAGTAATGATTACTATATTTATAACTAGAATATCTCTATATTGCATTGTAAAATGTAAGTTATACTTGCGAGGAGTGAACATTTAGACATAGAGAAAAAATATCAAACGTATCTTGTGCATAAAAGTTAGCTTTTCTTTTACACGTGTGTGAAATCCAACGACGCCGAGTGTGCGTTGCAGACTGTTGTTTTGTAATGGATTTAGAATCGCTAAATAGTAGGTTTTAGAAAGCAGGCAGTAACTGATGATTGAAAATGGTGTGATGTAGCTTGATGGAAAGAATTTAAAAGTGCAGGTAAAGGGATAAAAGCAAGCTGACATTGTAATTATAAGGTAGCTTATAGGGCAATGTAGGGATTAATTATTATTTTATTTATCAGAACTTTAATATATTCTGATGGTCCTCTGTTTCTTTTTAACAAGTTTCTTTTTAAAATGTTTTGTCATATTATTTTAGTTAAAACTCATAAATAACTACAAATAACTATGTTTGGGAAATCTGTTAATGTTTTGTTGCACGTTTCTGAAAAATATCGGCCGATATATCGGAATATCGGATTTTAAAACCCAAAAATATTTGTATCGGCCTTCAAAATTCCTTTATCGGTCGGGCTCTAACTTATACTGTCACAAATGACTAAAACGTCATTTAAATTTGACAAATATTACATTTTCTTGTCCCTAATATCAACATAATGCAAGGGAAACTGTGTGAAACTGAACTGCAGCAGTGCTAAAATTGCATCATAAAATTACAACACTCGAACTATAAATGAGTTAAACCCACTGAGACTGTCGACAGTTTCTTTAACATGCATCATGTGGTTAGAGATAAATCATATAAGACAGTGAAACTGTCCTCGGACCCGTTTGTCTTGCCTGCGCTCGAGACGGTGACGTGTGAGCTCCACTGAAAGTCTTCTTTCCTATTGGTTGTCGCTCGCGAAAATCGCTTCTCGTTTGCATAAAGTTGAAATTTCTCAACTTTTGACGCTTGTCTCTCGTCGCTTGGCACGCCCATTATGTTAATAATTAGATAATTATGTTTTGCGTGAGCACAGATCATTTTTATCTCCCGCTCCCCGCACACATCAGTGTCTTCCCTTCCGCACTCAGCAATTAAAAACCTGTCTTTTTTCGCGCTCTGTTGCCTCGGGTCCGACGGGTCCCACGCTCTTGATCAAAGATTCCTCTGGGAAGATCCCTAAAATCAGTCATACTCTGAGATCAGCCCTGTGGTTTCAAAAGCCATTTCATTGATGTTGAATCAAATAACTTAACTTAAACTGGAGTGGAGAATGTGCCGAAATGATGATTAAATAGAATCTGTTGGGTTTGTTTTTCAAATTGAACTATCTACTTCAAAATGCATTGGCTAAAGTTAAGGTTCATTGATATCTAAGATATAGTTCCTCATAAATCTAAAGCCTGCATGGTTGTTCATGAATTTGAGTTGTGACCATAATGGGTTAATTTCACGTCCTCATTTTTTTGGGATTCAGAGTCTCCACACCTCCGTCTCTCTGCATGAGTAAGTCCTGTGGTATTTGAGGAAGTATTTTCTGAAAGAGGTGTGCTGCGTACTCGCTGCCGTCCCGTAGGAGTTTCCAAAGCAGTTTAATAGGCTTTGTGTGTGTTGTTCCATTCATCCAGGCCTTGAGGAGAATAGAAGTGCAGTTTGCTTTGAGAGCTCTGCAGAAAGATGGCTGGCTGAGAGAGATGGAGGCATTGTGTTGATGCTTGAACAATAAAACGTGTTGTCTAATTACTCTTTGTGCCACATGAAACCTTTCAGATTTGCATGCATATGTCCTTAATGATTATTTTTCAGCTGGTTTTAATGATCTGTTGTCGGTTTTTTTTAGTCATTATGTATTTGTTCTGCAGCATTGCTTTTTTCTAATCAGAGGAAAAATATTGTTTGCCAAACAGCCATTGTAGCAATATAGATTTAAAATGTGTTTTTTATTAAATTATTAATAATTTATTATTTTTTATTAATTAAAAAAAATTTAATTTATTATTTTTTTCAATAATATATATATATTTTCATGATTTTACAGCTATATATATATATATATATATATATATATATATATATATATATATATATATAATATATATATATATATATATATATATATATATATATATATAATGTATATAAAATCTGATAAATTTATTAATAATGATTAATGTGATTTCTCATATTCTAAATTTCTCATTTTAAAAAGCAATATTAACAAAAATAAAATAAAAA